TATATAATATATATATATATAAAATATATATATATTGTATCCGAAATGCTATTAAGGATGAGTTATTGGTTTTTGAACAAACAACGTCCTGAGTTTGATTTGAATTTTTTTAAATGTCCGGTTCTGATAAATATTTAATGAACAAAAGGTTTTACTGATAAATTTTTTCCTGTCAAAGTGGCATGAACTGTATTGTCAATAAAAGTAATTCACGCCTCTGTCGAAATTTGGTATCATGGATCAGATATTTAAATTCCAATAAACGTGCAATCCACTTTTTACATGAATTATTCATACAAAATATATTTGTTTACATGTTCAATCCATTTGATTCTCAGACATCTTTCTGTAGAAACGATTCAAATAGTCAAAATCTCTAAATCCAGTGATGAGATTACCCAGCATTCATTACTATATAGAATGACTGATATAAGATACCAGTTACAACTTTTGTCTGTATATACACACAAAAAAACGATATAATAAATGTTGTTCTTGGAAATTTTTTCTCTTAGTAATAAGAGGATATATATATATATATATATATATATATATATAAATATGAGTTTTTGGTTTTTGAACGCGCCAAAGCAACGCTGAGTTTAGGATTTGAATTTTTTAAATGTTTGCGTCTATAGCAAATATGGTAAGAACAAATGTTTTTACTGAGTAAATTTTTGGATGTCAAGGTGGCATGAGATGTCAATTGACATTGCATTTGAATATATATATATATATATATATATATATATATATGGATCAGATATTTAAATATAGTAAATTTGCAATCAATTTCAAATACATGAATTATTAAAAACAAGTTAATGCAAATTAATGATTTAAATTTAATTTTCCATCTTGAAAACGATTCTTTTTTGTACACAAAACATCTAAATGTCCTATAATTGAGTTGATCCTTGTTTATATAAATTTCGCCGTAATTAGGTTGTTATTTTTTTACTTTTTTTTTCTGTTATAACAGACATCGTCAGGTATATGTAGATGTTTTTCTTGGTTTTTATTTTATTTTAAGAGGACATTAAAATATTGTGTATTGTTATCCGAAATATTATTAAAATGAGTTGGCTTTTTGTTTTTTTACGCGCCAAAGCAACGCTTCCATTTTTTTTTCTTTTTTTTTAAATGTCTGCGGTTATATGTTTATATTTTCTAATGTTTTACTGATAAATTTTTAAAAGACCAGTAAAACATTTGTTCATACAAAGAGAGGACAGTATATTCAATAAAGATATGTCATTATTGCAGAGCACTACTTGCATAGAATATAATGAACATGACCTTGAACCTGTCATGAATTAATCAATATTTGTAATTTCGTCTTCCATAAAGACATACTGTAGGCAATCCAGAAGTTTTGAGGGGGGTGGTTATAACTGTTCAAAACATTATTGTAATTTTACTTTACAATCATTGGTATACAATCATTGGTATACTATTACTAATCTGGCAAACCAACTTCTTTTGTTCGAAATTGAAAGAGAAGGCTGTAATAGCCCTTTGAACACAATCTACTGAACACTGCTTATCATTTACAAAATGCAGCAGAGGACATGAAGACAATTTTGAATCCCGCTATAGAATAAATATTTGTGTTAACAGAGACGGGCATCAAAAGTGCACGTCAACCAACCTACAGTCCATACCTTGCTCCGTCTGACTTTAGTCCGTTCCCCATGCAGAAGGAGAACCTCAGCTGCACTCGTTTTGTGGCATTAAGAAGGTGAAGGAGGCCGCGAAAAGAGTCCTGGACACCTTCACTTTTCATGATTTCCACGGGGTCTCCCCGAAGAAGAAGGATCGCTACAACAAGTGCATTGGATTCAGAGGATATGGTTAGGGTTTCCCAATTCTTTGAAATTAATATATGTCTCTCCTGAAAGTCTCAAAACTTTTGTAATGCACCTCAAATACAACCAGACAAGACAATGATTACCAACTACGAACCGAAAATGCCTTTTCGGACACAGCGGTGCCATCAGATAAAACGATATTTAAAAGAAAGGTATATATGTGGATCTTAGACATGAAATTAAAATATGTTGAACCTTAAATCTATTGTTATCCCTATAATAATTGTAACACTGGATACGGTACAAGTTGGTATAGACAAGTATATTTACAAAGTTCCATATAGCTCTTGTTTAGAAGAAGTTTAACAAAATTTCAGTTTGGAACTACAAAACTATTCCGAAGGGCATAATAATTGAAATAGAATATTTTAAAAAAATATACATGTTAAAAATTACTTAAGATCATGATTTCTTTAAACAGAACTATGTGTGGGTGGTGTAATCCAATAGCAATTCGGAATGTTGAATCAGAGTGTTGATTTCGAATCTTTCGCGGGTTAATTACATCCACTTTCTGAAGGTTATAAGTGAATGTAATGGACCCGACAGGAATTGGAACATCTGCTCCGATTCCTCATTTCGAGTCGCTATCAGATTACACCATCCCACATAAGGAGAGGGTTTAATAC